AATCTCAATAGTAAGTTTTTTGGAGGGTATAGTTTTTATAGATTTAACTATAGCAGAAGAAAATTTTTAATTCTGTAAACATCCTCAGTTATCCTTTCAACAGCTCTGTAGAGTAAGTCAGTTTTATTCCTTTACTGCAGAAATTAGTTAGGAATGAACTGTCCCACAAAATTAGCTTGCCTAAGAAGAATCCTGGTGTACTGGAGTAAAGATTTAGTTTAGTCTTTATTCCTACAACAGTCTAATCTGCTGCAGCCAGCAAGGCCACAACCAGAACAAGAGTGCAGTAGTCTTCTCCAGTGTTCTCTCTCTCTTTCTTTCTTTCTCTCTCTCTCTCTCTCACACACACACACACACACACACACACATTTAGAGGTATATTACTTTTGAATGTGGAAGCTTCATTTAGCTGCAACTAACAGATAATCAGCTGTGCAAAGGGTTAAAACTTTATCACTCTTCTCTCTTCCTCCTCCCCTTTCTCACTGGGTGCTCCTCTCCTTCCACCCTGGTGGTTGTTCAGTCTTTCCTTTTATTCATATCTATAACAAGCAGCAGGACTTACTCTCCTTCTCTTTTTCTTTGCACCATAGGAAACATTTAGGGCCCTGCATAAGGAAGTAGTCTGTGTAGCTGTGTAGAGGCCCTTTGGAGTGCTGACTATTCCAAGCGTCCCAAAGGCTTTGTTTCTGCTTAGAAAAGATAGTGGGAGTGACTTAGGTTGATACTACAAAAACAGCAAAGTGTCCTGCTTATATACCACCCCATAGTGCTTAAAGCACTCTTGGGGCAGTTTCCAAGTTAATTATGCAGGCTACACATTGCCCCCCTCAGCAAGCTGGGTACTCATTTTTCTAACCTCGGAAGGATGGAAGGCTGAGTCAATCAGGAGCTGGCTGCCTGGGTTTGAGCCCTGGTTAATGAACACAATTTTGCTTGCAGTATAGCAGTTTAATCACTGTGTGACAAGGCTCATAAGAAATTCTAATCAACTAAGATTAATTATTTCTAAAACAACAGTAACCCCAACATGCATGTTTTTAAGCTCCCCTTAGTATCTGTACTAACTTTCAGGTATCATATTTCACAGCCGTGGACAAACTGCAGAGATAGACACACAAGAATATATTCACTTTTATTATACAGTAGATAACAAATAGTCACAGATGCATGAAAGTGACTAATCCTTCTTTAACATAACTGAAGCCATTTAAAACACTTTCCCCTCCTATATAGTGGCAGCAAATTCTGTAAGTTAATTGGAACATAATTGTGTGTTGTGTAAATGAATTAAATGTTAGGAAGGATGAAAGCAAAGATTTTCTATTTTGCCACTTTTTGGCACTGAAATGATGTGTGAAATATGGTGAAATGTCAACAGCTGTGAAGTAGTGATTTTAAAGTTTCCCAGACTTTGTAAATTCACAAACACTGTGCAGTTTTAATGACAGAGGACAATATAATTACTAAATATTGTAGAAATACATATACTGTATAGAATACTCCAGCAAATTCTAAAGCTAGTCATGATAGTGATGCCATTTTGCAACAGTATATTTAAAATATACATAATTTGGCACAAGCAACTTTCCTTCCAAGTTGTATACTTTCCTGTTAATGTGTAAACCTGGGAGATAGACAGGTTTAGGAAGATATAGGGAATATTTAATATTTTATATATACTGGGCAGAGGAATCATAAGGACGGGAGAAGAGAGGTAGAGGTGGAAGGAACAGCCTTTTCCGGTGGTGACTTCATGCACTTCTGGGCTTTTCTCTACACTGGCTGTAAATCTTGTTGCAAGTAAGTGAGTTGCAAGGTCAGAATTCCGTGTCCAAGGGTACATCTCCATGATCAGAGAGAAAGACCCAAAAATGTTTGGCCCCTGAGATGCCAGCTGATTGTTCTGTAAAGGAACAAAATATGAGCTTAAGAGTGCAATTGAATAATAATGCAGAAATGTTATACTGTTAGTCGTTCTTTTCTCTGCTAGTGAGGCCGAGAGCTTGATTTCATAATTTTAATTGCCCACAGAGTAGAGCCCTAATACATCTACAGTGCCTTTTGTGGTATAATTTTATGTTGCTGGATTTAAGCCAGTGAGTAGCAATGGATTATTTTAAAGCACTTTAATGAGTAACAAGAACAAATTGCTTTTAAAGTAATTTTCTGGAGTCTACAGAAGAGGTACTGAAACATGGATTTTGTTTGCTCCTTTCTGCTCTATGGCAGCCTTTCCCAGTCATCTGCTCTCCAGGTGTGTTGGACTAAACTCCCACTGTTCCTAGTCAATGTTGGAGCATGTGTTGTATACCCAACACATATAGAGGGCAGCAAGTTGGAGAAGTGTAAAATTTTACGTATATTGTATGCATGTGAAAATATATGTACTGTATATATTAAGCATGGAATGTGTTACATTGTCTCTATCAAATAATAACTCAAATAACATTTACATAACATGTAAAATTGTGATATGAGTATGTCATATCGCAATAGTTTTTGACTATGTATGGGAAGGAAAATACCAGTGAGTTCAATGTTTTTACTCAAACAATCAGGTGAATTATTTTTATCTTAGTTAGAGCTGTTATACTTGAGGAAATAGCATGACAGTAATGAAGCTCATTCATTCATATTCACACAAGTTTTTGTGTTTTGACCATCTTTAAGTTGATGAAGTCCTGGATCAAGCAGACTATTTGTATGAGAGTGGGGAAACCGAAAAGCTTTTTCAGTTGCTGGAGCAACACAAAAACAGGTATGTTACTGTAGCAGGCCCTGGTCAGAAGAAGTGGAGGCTTAATTCTTTCTATGGGTTCTCCTAGGCTCTTAATTCTCTTGGTGTAGTCATGTTGGGCTCTTTATCTGGTGGTGCTCAATATTTAATAGCAGCAGAACAAGGTAAAAAACAAAGTGAGTTTTTGAATTCACCTAGGAAAGTGAACAGACCAAGACTGTGTGCAATCTCAATAGTAAGTTTTTTGGAGGGTATAGTTTTTATAGATTTAACTATAGCAGAAGAAAATTTTTAATTCTATAAACATCCTCAGTTATCCTTTCAACAGCTCTGTAGAGTAAGTCAGTTTTATTCCTTTACTGCAGAAATTAGTTAGGAATGAACTGTCCCACAAAATTAGCTTGCCTAAGAAGAATCCTGGTGTACTGGAGTAAAGATTTAGTTTAGTCTTTATTCCTACAACAGTCTAATCTGCTGCAGCCAGCAAGGCCACAACCAGAACAAGAGTGCAGTAGTCTTCTCCAGTGTTCTCTCTCTCACACACACACATACATATTTAGAGGTATATTACTTTTGAATGTGGAAGCTTCATTTAGCTGCAACTAACAGATAATCAGCTGTGCAAAGGGTTAAAACTTTATCACTCTTCTCTCTTCCTCCTCCCCTTTCTCACTGGGTGCTCCTCTCCTTCCACCCTGGTGGTTGTTCAGTCTTTCCTTTTATTCATATCTATAACAAGCAGCAGGACTTACTCTCCTTCTCTTTTTCTTTGCACCACAGGAAATATTTAGGGCCCTGCATAAGGAAGTAGTCTATGGAGCTGTCTAGAGGCCCTTTGGAGTGCTGACTATTCCAAGCGTCCCAAAGGCTTTGTTTCTGCAGATTAGAAAAGATAGCGGAAGTGACTGAGGTTGATACTACAAAAACAGCAAAGTGTGCTGCAGGAGCAGTGGCCATTTTGAAACTGCCAATCAGCGGTGCAAAAATCTTTGTTTTGCGATAATCGGTTAGCGAAGCAGGTAATCGATCATCACAAAGCGGAAAAACCCATAGGAAACATTGTTTTGCGATCACTTTTGCGATTGCAAAAACTTCTTCGTTATGCGATTTCATCGTTAAACGAAGCGCTTGTCTGGCGAGGCACCACTGTACTGTGTGGAGACATAGGAGAGGGCTTTTGCAGCTGCATCCCCTTGATGATGTTCGGTCTTTGGAGGCTCAATGTGCAACCAGCTTTCATTTCCTTTTGGCACCAAGTTGAATGCAGCTGTTCACCAGAGCCTGCGAGATTTAACCATCTTGGTTTGAATAGATTCTGGATTTATTTATTTTTTGATAATGTGTAGTGTTGCAATGGTTTTAAATTTGCATGTGTTTATGGT